AGAAAGAAAGAAAGAAAGAAAGAAAGAAAGAAAGAAAGAAAGAAAGAGACTCAAAATGCAAGTGTATGGTAATGACTTCATTGTAGAGATAACATCGAATCACCTCTAGTTTATTAAATATTATAATAAACCAAAGAATGGTACTTTCACTCTTAGTCACAAATTACTTGCAACATGCCTCTCAATAACATAAACTAACAAAAAATTCAGTGAGATTCAAAACTCATAGTTCCACTAACATCCCTGCGGTACTCACTCTTCCTTCTTAAAAAAATATCAATGCCAGCAACTTACAGAAAAAACTCATAAACACCAAACAGCTATTCCTTGCCTCAAAAGTCTCTTTGGATATATACTGGTATATCCATCAGCTTACAAAGTTGTAATCAGTATGTACACATAATTTCATGTTCTTTTTTCTTCACTAAACATTTCATCTATACATTCTCATTTACTGGTATACTCTCACAATATCTAGGGGCTAAAAAGGTTTTATTAACGAATGTTTTTCCATTGTGGAGTATTGGTTGTTTCCCATTGTTCATTTTACAGTGCTACAATCGATTTTTTCGTAGAAAAAAAGAATCAGTGTTTTATGTTTTCATTTTGAGGTACGTTTTCCCAAGTTAAACTATTGGATCAAAGGGTCTAAAGTGTTTGATGAATTTGTGCCAGATTCCTTTTCTATAAGAATATACAAGCCGGGCATGGTGGTTCACGCCTATAATCCCAGCACTTTGGGAGGCTGAGGTGGGTAGATCACCTGAGATCAGGAGTTCAAGACCATCCTGGCCAACATGGTGAAACCCTATCTCTACTGAAAATACAAAATTAGCCGGGCGTGGTGATGTATGCTGTAATCCCAGCTACTCAGGGGGCTGAGGCATGAGAATTGCTTGAACCCAATAGTGGGAGGTTGCAGTGAGCTGAGAGTGAAGCAGTGTACTCTAGTCTGGGCAACAGAGTGAGACTCTGTCTCAAAAAATAAAAACAAAATACATCTATTGTTAGTACCACTAGCAATATACAAATATCCGGGAATATCCAGTCCTCTTCATGCCAAATGGATTTTTTCTTTTCTTTTTCTTTCCTTTTTTTTTTTTAGTTTCATAGATATGCAATATTACTCAAAAGAATTGCTTTGTCCGGTACTATGGCTCATGCCTGAATTTCCAACACTTTGGGAGGCTGAGGCAGGTGGATCACAAGGTCAGATGTTCAAGGTCAGCCTGGCCAACATGGTGAAACCCTGTCTCTACTAAAATACAAAAGAATTAGCTGGTGGTGCTCATCTATAATCCCAGCTACTCAGGAGGCTGAGGCAAGAGAATCAGTTGAACCTGGGAGGCAGAGGTTGCAGTGAGCCGAGATGGTGCCATTGCATTCCAGCCTGGGTAACACAGAGCAAGACTCCATCTCAAAAAAATTAATAATAAATAAATAAATAAAAAGAATTGCTTTAACTCTGTATTTCTGAAGTTGAATTTAGGGGAGAGCCTGTGCCCCCGATGCCACCCTAAAATGTTGCAGCCTCTTCACCGTGACAGCCTCCTTGCACACACAAGTATGAACCCAAAGACGGAAGTTTCTTCAAGACCCAAGCCCAGACGGCCGGCTCACACACACACGTGACTGGTTTAAAGGAAAGTGTGTAGCCGGCCTGGAGCACGGCACGGCAACCACTAGTTTAGTACCTGGCAAAGGGTAGACCGTCAGAAGTAGGCGCTAAACTAGCTGCATCTTGGGAGCCTGAAGGAGTGTGTAATGCTGTGAGCCCTTCCTCCCTGAGGCTGCATAGCAATTACACATGCCTCCTGAACAGCTTTTCTTACTCTGTCTTCTGTTCTAAGTACAGCAACTACATGTCCTAAATCTGCTAACATTTCAAACAGGTGGTCCAGTTGTCCCCAGAAAGTGCACCCGTTCTTTTGAGACCACATATCCCAAATTTGGACTGGGGACATGTGGTCACTACTATTTTGATATGTTGATCTCCCACACTCCACTAGAATGCAAGCTTATTAAGAGTAAGGACTGTCTTATTCATCATTCCAAACCTGTATCATCCCTTTCTACAACCTACACCATCCTTTAATTATAAAGTTGGTTCGACTTGCTCTCTTGTCACTTAGAGAGTTGCTATTCTTTGAAAATATGGCTCCTAAAATAGCTCCATCTCTTTTCTCTCTTCCAAGCTCCGTGTGTGTGTGTGTGTGTGTGTGTGTGTGTGTGTGTGTGTGAAAATGGGTCCCAAAAATATAATTTTCTTTGATGTGTTATATGTAGCAATAGAGAAGCAAAAGGCAATAATATACCCAGTAAGCACTGCCTATCAAACTAATTCTGAATACTTTATTGTCCTGCTGACAACTAAAGAATGGTATTTGAAAGTCACAAATTTCACTGTTTTCACGCAGTATGTAAATTGAAGTTCGCATGGCCGATGAAAGATATTAGCCAGAGGTGTCAGTTATAGAAAGAGTTTCAGTACAGTGCTGTAAATGCATCACTCTCAATAAATATTACAACGATGAACATAGGCCTGGCGTGGTGGCTCACGCCTGTAATCCCAGCACTTTGGAAGGCCTAGGGAGGCAAATCACAAGGTCAGAAGATCAAAACCATCCTGGCTAACATGGCGAAACCCCGTCTCTACTAAAAAAAATTGGCCAGGCGTGGTGGTGGGGCCTGTAGTCCTAGCTACTCAGAAGGCTGAGGCAGGAGAATCGCTTGAACCAGGGAGGTTGCAGTGAGCTGAGATCGCGCCACTGCACTCCAGCCTGGGTGACAGAGAGAGACTCTGTCAAAAAAAAAAAAACATGAAAATACTAAACACACTTTTAGAAGTGACATACTAGTATAGCATATTCATACAGCAAATTCTCCAGCGTATCAGAAGAATTCTGGCAAATGCTTTGATTTTCAACTCTCCACATTCCACTGACTTTAACAGAGATCCCAGCACCTAACACTGTCTTCCGGATTCCTCCTCCTACGATGGCAGGAGCCCAAAAGGCTGATGGGAGCTTGTCTTGTTGACCTGCACAGTCTTCAATATGCAAAGAGACTACAGCATCCTCAACATAGAGCTCAAATCCAAGCTTTTGCGACTGGACCAAAACATCTGATAGTTACATGAGGGTGAAGGGGATGGCTACTCATTTCTAGAATGATAAGTTTCACTTGCCAGGAATTGTCTTTCATTATCCAGTAGGGTTTTTAATTCTCCCTCAAAGAATTTAAACAACAAATTCAAGATAAATGAGGAAAGTGTCCTTTGGAAAATAAACATCATTCATCAGTCCCATTTGTGGGTTTCCAGGACAGCTGGTGCGAATCTAGAGTAATATTAAACATCTTCTACATCTCTTGACACATCTGGGCCTAGCCCAGCGCCTTCTGAGTCTAGAAGACTTTCTGTCTTACAGCTTCCTCTGCCGCCCCGCAGGCCTGCCTGGATAGCTGTGGCTTGCCGGCACGGAGGCCACAAAGCTGCTGATCAACCAGTGAGTCTGTGTTCTGTCCTTTTCCCACTTCCTGCACAGCCTGAGCTGCAGACGCGATGCACCCCAGAGTGGCGCAGGCCGGGGTCTTGTAGTGCTCACTCTGAGCGCTGCTCCCAGCGGCCAAAGACTGGGGAGGCAGCAGCACCACTGCTATTGGAGGATGGAGGTGGGGGATATGGACTGAAGTCCAGAGTGGCTCCCGCGAGCTGCCTACATGGCAAAACCCTCCCAGCTGGCCGTCAGGATCAGGAAAAGCAAGGCAGCAGGACCAGGAAAGGGGTAAGGAATGACTAGGAAAGGCTGGGCCTTGGACGTCAGCAAGAGCCCCACGCGGAGAGAACCTCTGGGGCTGCAGTCAGGGTAAGCAGCAAGAGCTGAGGTAGAGTTCGGTTCTGGAGACTGGACAAGGCGGGAGAGATGTCCTGGGAACACCCAATCTTCACTGAGGGATCCTGGGCTTCAATTATGGTTCAGTCATGCCATGTATAGACCAGGCTTTTCTCTTGGCTGGCCAGAGTCCCGGGGACTAGGATCCTGGCAGTGTATGAGGCCGAATGTTCCCCCTCCTGCGGAATATTCTTTGAGGAAGATGTTTTCAGGAGGAAGAGTTGGGGGTGATAGAAAAGCTTGCCACTTAACTAGCGCCCAGAACCCACACCTGAACTAGTAATTTAATTAGCATTTTTTAAATGTTCTTTATTTTTTAGAGACAGGGCCTTGCTCTGTCGCCCAGGCTGGAGTGCTGTGGCACCATCATGGCTCGCTGCAGCCTCAAACTCCTGAGCTCCTGAAGGTCCTCCCGCCTCAGCCTCCTGAGTAGCTGGGATGATAGGCATGCACTATCCTCTAGCCTCAGCCTCCCCAAGTGCTGGGATTACAGGCGTGGGCCAAAGTGCCTAGCAGCAACTTAATTCTAAACTTTGACAGATTATTAATCAGTTTCTTATCTTCCCCATGTTTGGCTCAGGTAAGAGATGCAGCAGTGTCTAAGGAACCTCAGTGGACTCAGCCAGGAAAACTGGGAAGAAGCCTCAGGTATTTGTACATGCATGTTCATAACAGCATTATTCATGGTAGCCAAAAAGTAGAAACAACCCAATGTCGTGGATGGATGAATGGATAAAGAAAATGTGAATGGATAAAGATAAATAAAAGACATACAGTAGAATGTGATTCAGCCTTTAAAAAGAAGGGAATTCTAAAATATACAAGTACAATTAAAAAAATTTTTTTTTTTTGAGACGGAGTTTCGCTCTTGTTACCCAGGCTGGAGTGCAATGGCGGGATCTCGGCTCACCGCAACCTCCGCCTCCTGGGTTCAGGCAATTCTCCTGCCCCAGCCTCCTGAGTCGCTGGGATTACAGGCACGCACCACCATGCCCAGCTAATTTTTTGTATTTTTAGTAGAGACGGGGTTTCACCATGTTGACCAGGATGGTCTCGATCTCTTGACCTCGTGATCCACCCACCTCGGCCTCCCACAGTGCTGGGATTACAGGTACAATTAAAATTTTTACCAAGAAAGGATAATCTCCCATATGCTATAACATACATGAACTTAAAGACATTATGCTTAGTGAAATAAAAGGACAAATACTGCATGATTCCACTTCTATGAGGTATCCAAAGTAGTTAGTTTGCAACATATAGAGATAGAAAGCAGAATGGGTGTTGCCAGGGGCTGGGTGGAGAGGGAAAGGGGACTTTCCTGGATACAACTCTGGATACAGAGTTGCAGGTTTGCAAGATGATGAGAGTTCTGTTGATAGGTTGTACAACCCTGTGAATAGCTTTAGCATACAGAACTGAATGGGGAGTTCCTGTTGAATGGATACACAGTTTCAGTTTGGGAAGATGGTGCATAGTGGGGATAGTTGTAGGAAACTTGAATGTACTTACTGCCACATCACTGTATCTTTAACATGGTTAAAATGGTAGCTTTTATGTTACATGTATTTTACCACAGTTAGAAAAAAATTTTTTTTTTAATTATCAGGTAAGTTTCCTTCAAACTCAGGAACCTTTCTGTGGGGAAGCCGTCTTCCCCAACTAACATAGCAACTCCTCAAAGTTTAGGAAATGACAAAGGATAAAATAACATGTTCTCTAGTGAAAAATACAAAACAACAAAACAAAACTGGGAAGAGGCAGATGCAGGGGAAATAATGAGGGGCTGGCCCTTGTTTTTAGCTTCGTCTGTGCCAGTGATTCCCGAAGTCAGCATGCCTCAGAAGACTGAGAGGGCTTGTGAAAATGTGGATTACATTTGTTGTTTTCTCTCTTTTTTTGCATAAAATCTTTCAGAAAAGATGCATTTGCATTTCTGACACGTTCCCAGGTGATGCTGACTTTGTAATTCAGGTACCACAGTTTGAAAACTGCTGGCTTATCCACATTCCTTTCAAGTATCAACACCGTAGTCATAGTCAAGTTCTCAAATTTTAGTAAGAGGATTTTCCTGCAATGTTTGCTATAATTCCAGATTCCTAAGCCTATAAAAATATGTCATTTTTAAAGCTTTCCCACCTGATTCTAATACAGTATATGCTCATTCCATAGGCTAATTAATGCTGCCCTAAGCATGCATGAATTAGCCCAGTGGTTCTCAAAGTATGGTCTGTGGACCACCAGCCATAGCGTCACCTGGGTACTAATTAGAAAACCATATTCTCAGACCCCATCCCTGACCTACTGAATCAGATACTCTATGGGTGAAGCCTGTAGATCTGGGTTTCAGCAAGCCTTTTGGGTGGTTCTGATTGACACTCAAGTTTGAGAATCATTGAGTTATACCTTTGAAAACTCTTTTTTCATTGATATACTTACTGATGGCAAACAAGAACTTTTGGACAATGGATGGGAAGTTTCACCATGTGCGTGGCCAGGGCTCGCTCTGTGCCCAGGCTGGAGTGCTGTGGCACAATCATGGCTCACTGCAGCCTTGATATCCCAGGCTCAAGTGATCCTCCTACCTTAGCCAGGAGCTGGGACTGCAGGTGTGCACCAGCACGCCTGGCTAATTTTTGCATTTTTTGTAGAGGTAGGGTTTCATCACGCTGCCCAGTTTGGTCTCCAACTCCTGGGCTCAAGTGATCCTTCCACCTCAGTCTCCCTAAGTGCTGGGATTACAGGTGTGAGCCACTGCACCCGGCTGAAATGTTAGTTTCTAAGGGTTGAAAAGTGACAAAAGAGTAAAGAATTTTCTTCTGCAGAGGTCTATATTAAAAACTAACATGCATGATGGTGTCTTCAGCTTCACTAACGGTGCCCGTAAGAAATGGATTTAAACTACAGCAGAAGGGATTGCACTAAAGGAAGAAAATTTCTTGGCAATAAGGATGATTAAATAGTGGGATGAACTAAAATAGTTGATTGTGGAAGATTCTTCGCTGGAGGATTTTTAAAGGATGGCTTCTCATCTGTCTGGAATGATGCCAGGGGAACGTTTTGAATTCCCTTCTAACCACGATTCTGATGTTCACATCTACATAACAGCACACTAAACTAATATGGACTCTGTGTCCCGCAAGCTTATGAAAGAGTGATAAGTGGAAGCTTCCCTCGCTATTAGACTGCTAGTAAAACAGAATTAGCAAGTGGTGAACAGATACAATATTAATATACTCAGAAGACCTTGGTTTCAATAGGAAGAAAGCCCAATGTCTCTTTTGCCAGTCCCTTAATCCTCTGCGAATGATTTAAGAGGCATCAGCTGTTTTCCACAGATTCGTCCTATGGGAACCAAGTCTCCAATAAAGAAAAATAAGAAATCAGCTTCTACCTGATCATATCTCTCTGTGGTTCTGATTTTAAGATGCAGTTGGTATTAGACATCAAGGCAAAAGTTGCTGAAAAGGGAAGATCTTAAAGTAAAAAGAGAGGCAGGAAGGAAACCTCTGAACAAACACAGATAGGAATAGCAGCTCGAGAGGGCAAGCCTCCACCCTGGATATAAAGTGGGAGCTGATACCACGCCAGGACAGAGATGTCAGACCCAGCCATGAATCCAGCTGGGGACTAGGCCAGAAGAGACACAGCCATCATGGGATTTAACTCTCTTAAGCATTTCTGATCCAGGAAAGATTGTCTTAGCGAGATAGTTGCATTTTTTTTCAGTAGGAGCCATACCCAAAACTGATGTAGAGGGTCGGGCTAGGTGCTCACACCTGTAATCCCAGCAGTCTGGGAGGCAGAGGCAGGGGGATTGCTTGAGCCCAGGAGTTCGAGACCAGCCTGGGCAGTGTGTCAAAACCCTATTTCTACAAAAAATACAAAAATTAGTCAGGGGTGGTGGTACACATCTGTAATTCCAGCTACTCGGGAGGCTGAGGCATGAGAGTTGCTTGAAATCAGAGGCAGAGGTTGCAGGGAGCCAAGATCTTGCCACTGCACTCCAGCCTGGGTGACAGAGCGAGACTTTGTTTCAAAAAAGGAAAAATAAAAATAAAAATAAAAATAAGTTGTCCCTGAAGCCAAGCGACTTGGATTAAAACCTTCTTCTACCACTTGACTGTGGACATGATTCTCAACATCTCTGAGCCTCAGTTTCCCTATTTGAAATAGAAGGACTAATTAGAATTGGGTTATTGAAGTGATTTCATGAGATAATGACTGTGCACAGGGCAGGCCATGTGGTCAGTGCTCGACAAATCTTAGCTTTCCAGCATTTTTCTACAGAACTGCATGGCTCAACTCTCAGGTTCAGTAAAGCAGTACCTCACAAATGCTAGGGTAAGAGCTGTCACCAGCCCGTAACAAAGTTTTCAGCATTCATTGGCAAAAGGGGAGAAGTGAGGGGAATGGCATGCGTGCAGGGTGGCATTCAGTGCCCAACGACAGCCTTCTTTCTTGGGAAGCAATGCTCTTTCCTCTGAGGATGTACAATGTCCTTTGCTTTTGGAAATAATGATCATAGTAGAAGATATTGTAAGTTTCATGTTCTTTGCAGCTTTAAGTTAGTCTTTAATTTTTTCTTCCTGGTCCATGAAATCCAAGGGTCTGGGAACCATTCTAAAGGGTGTGAGAAAATACAAAGAGGGGTGGGCAGGACTGGCTTAGTGGTTCTGTGGCTCAGTGCTTCTGCTTGGTGGTCCAAGGGCGTGAGGGTTGCAGGTGTATCTTCTACTTCTTTTACCACCACAGACTTTTCTTCGGGCCTCTCAGGTTCTTCCTTTTCATGCTTTTTGTTCCTTCACCAATTTCTCCCTCTCATTGGGTGTGCTTCTAACTGTATTCTCTCTCTTGCTTTTGCTCCAGGCTGTTAGGCTATTTGCTCTTGTTTGTGATATTTCCCCTCTTTCCATGCCCTCTTTCTCTTCCCCCTCACACACTTTATATTTGTTTCTGGTTTTGCATGTGATTCTTTTTTTTTAAGCCACAGGTGCTGCGTCTTCAGGTGTGCCCATGCACCCAAGTGACAGTGGTGGGGGACAGGTACATGCTGTGTGCAGTGGAGCAGACACTGTTTGTTCCCTCCAGACAGGGGTTTGTGCTGAGACAGGAAAACAAACATGGCCCTTTCCTAGTCTGTTTTCTGCTACTAAAACAAAATGCTAGAGGTTGGGTAATTTATAAAGAAATGAAATTTATTTCATGCTTCTGGAGACTGGGAAGTCTAAGAGCATGGCACTGGCATCTGGCAAGGGCCTTCTTGCTGCATCATAACATGGCAGAACAATAAGTGAGCACCCAAGACATAGAGATCAAACTGGGCCAAACTCATCCTTTTTTTTTTTTTTTTTTTTTTTTGAGATGGAGTCTCGTTCTGTTGCCCAGGCTTGCTGGAGTGCAGTGGCACGATCTCGGCTCACTACAACCTCCACTTCCCAGGTTTGAGCAATTCTCCTGCCTCAGCCTCCCAAGTAGCTGGGCTTACAGGTGCCTGCCACCATACCTGTCTAAGTTTTGTATTTTTAATAGAAGTGGGGTTTCACCATGTTGGCCAGGCTGGTCTCGAACTCCTGACCTCAAGTGATCCTCCTGCCTCAGCTTCACAAAGAACCGAGATTACAGATGTGAGCCACCACACCCAGCCAAACTCATTCTTTTAATCAGGAATCAACACAGGTGATAAGTAACCATTCCCTCAATAATGGCATTAATCCACTCATGAGGGCAGAGCACTCGTGACCTGATCACCTCTCTAAAGACTTCTGCCTGGTGGTCCAGGGGCACTTATACCTCAACATGAGTTTTGGAGGGGGCCTTCAAACCATAGCCGCCTTTCAGATGGTTCTCTCTGTCTCCAAATTCATGACACATCCTTCATTATTTAAAACGTTCCATTTTATCACTGAAGATCATTCCTCTGGTGGTTGCATTTTTTTCCCACCAGAGAGAGCCAGCTAAGCCAATGCATCATAGTTTGCCTGAGACTTTCCCGGTTTTAGCACTAAAAGTCCCACAACCTGGGCAGCTTCTGGCAAGCTGGGACAGCTGGTCGCCCTAGAGGTAGTGGTGATGTACCCCTTACTGGACTGTTGGTCAAAGATTAGGCACAGGTAGGTCTAAGTTCAGAGAATGAAACTGATCAAGAGAGATTTCTGGGATCATTTAACCCAGACAGGGGCTGGGATCATTTAACTCAGAGCAGAGAAAGCTGAGGTAGGGATGGGATGGGGCTATTTTGGTAACAACCTTCACGTGTGTTTGCTGGGTGTGCTTGAATGTGTGTCCAGCTGCGGTCCATCTCCACCCGAAATCAGAGCCAGAGGAAATGGGTGGGAGTGGAGCCCGAATGTACTCTCGAAGCTGAATTTCCTGACAGTAAGTATTCTTAGACACTAGAATGAGTTTCTAAGACAGATTAGGCATTGTCCTTGGCGGTCTTCAGCACAGTGAATTCCTGAGGGCTTGAAGAGTTTAGGTGTGGTCCAAAAGCTGAGGGGATGGGCAAAACATATTTCCAAGATTCCTTCCAACCCTAGGACTCTGTTTCCATCTACCCACTAATTATGGCTGTAATTATTTTTCTTGCCCTCTTTTGCCCGTAAACCTTATGATGGGCAAGAAAAAAGTAGTTTGATTATAGTCTCCTTAAGGAACCAGTGA